TAAGTCTAAGATCTTTACATGATGTGTTCTAGCGTTGAATATGTGTCACCTTAACCAACAGAAGTTATCTCTGAGGTCTGTGTCGGCTTCAAAATCCCACAAGAACCAGACAGAATTGATGGGGATACTTATGAAAATGTAAGAGGAAATGATTAATTGGTTGATCTCATCAGAATACGATTGCCGATTTTTGTTGCTTAGTGACAGTTTGGCTTTAATACGACTTTCATGCTGAAGTAGCCACCGAGACCTCTTTCTTCGTTTCGAGAGAAAGCGGGCTGAGTTTTCGTCAATCACAAGATTGACATCCTCAGAGCCGTAACTCATTCTTGCAAAAGTCTCAAGTGTCCGCCGTACGATGGACAAAAGCTTAGTTCAGTTTCTCCCGAAACGAGAAAGGAGGCGCCGGGAACGGCGTCAACATTAACGTCGTCAACATGAACGTCGTATAAAAGCCAAATAGTTAGAAAATAACGGGAGTCGGTCGATGTCTTCCAGCGAGATCAACTGAGGAGCCTCTAAATCATGCTCTTTTATACGAAATGAAATTCTTGCCAACAATTTTATTTGAAGGTATTCATCGAAATCCAATTACTCCTTAGATTTGACAAAAGACCAAAAACAATACCCATTGCCTTCTGGTTAGATCTACAAATGAACCTCCCAAGCATATCGCAATAAACCTATGCTATCTCGAATAAGCACTAAATGTTCTTTAAACGGCTCCATTCAAGCATATGAAAAATCGGACTAATCTACCAAAACATGGCCGTAATTACCCACTTTGGCGTGTACACGAATGAGATGAAAAATGAAATAGTGATGCAAAATGTAGTCAATATCAAGTAAAAAGTATAGTAGAATGGTATCGTGGTCACTCTCACTGATTACGCCTACTGGAGAAGATGCTAGTTCACGTGGCTCCGAATGACTGACACAAAGGACAAGTTTCATGAATAAAAGACGCATATGCTTCTACCATCTTTCGGGTCTGCTAGAGCTAAAACTCTATACGCCTGGTCACCGAAAGGTTGGCCGAGCATAGATGAACTTGCCTACATACCCTACCTTTGCCCACTTCCTCATTCATCTCTCTCTCTCTCTCTCTCTCGACATCAAAGCAACATTCACTCTCTCCAGTTGAGATTCCCAAATCACTCAAGCGGCTCGCTTTGGACTAATGCAAATTGCACAAAAAGCCATACCTGGCGAGTCTTCTGTCTGCCCAGCTTCAATAGACAACTGTACCAGAACACCGAGCAGATCTGTTGGCTTGCAAATGCATAGAAGATGCGTCTTATCGAAAAGGGTTGAGCAGATGTAAGAGCACAAGAGAAGACTTGCTGCCTTTGAGTCCTCTCGAATGGAAGGCATCTTTCCTGCCTTGGCGCATGGTCAATTATCGTAAAGCATGCTTTCCTGATCTGAGGATGTCTGCCACGGGGATCGGTGGGGTCGCGACACGGTGCGCCGAAAACAGATTCATATAAACCTGACATTACCTCGATCGGATTCAGCTGAGGCCAATTCTCAGAGCACTTCCAGTAGAATCTTCACCCAAAAGGAAAGGTAGACCAACATCAATCTGATAAGAGCTTATTCTAAAAAAACTTCTCTTCAATAAAAATGCTCTCCAATGATAATAATCATAAGCCTCATTATCATCATTATCATCCGAATAAGACTCACAATTATAAAAAGAATAGGGATAATAATAAGGTAATCAATAATAACAATAACAATAACGATAAGGTCTTCGAAACTTCAACTACATAACCTCCATGCCCGTAATTTTTATTGCTGTCCAAACAAATTTACATTACACCGATTATTCTGCACAGTTTACTGGTTGTGCTAGAATTCTGCTAAAATCAGGCATAGGAAGGGGACTTTTGCTGTTTAATTGTATTTGATTTCATAGGAATTTCTAATTAGGAGGGAATATTTGGCCGCACAAGAAACCCTTTAGTTGGGAAGATATGGCCCAGATAAGACGGGACCTGGAGTTCGACTTGGATGTAAAAAACCGTTGAGAATGTTTGGCAAAATTAAAATATAACATCGCTTAAATTTAACATGGTCTGTAGTCCCACAGCTGTGGACATTTAAAATTTGTCATTCAAATGGAAAA